AGGGACAGAAAGTAAGAAAACCACAGAAGCATGAAAACAACAGTAGAAAAGAGTAGGGAAGTTAGGGAAGTGAACCCTGGCAGACATGAAGGCAGGGGAACATGAGCTTCTGAGGCAGGACCTTGTCTGTCTTGCTGACGTCCAGAACAATGTGCACGTGTACATGGAGTCTGTCCTCAACAAACAGAGAATATGTGTTCTTTTCAAACACACCTATGTAATAGTCACAAAAACTGGCCACGTATTGGGTCACAAAGGAAATCCCAACAGATTCCCAACAGCAAAACCATATAAGCCATATTTATTGCTCACAATGCCATGAGGACTAAAAATTAGAGACAATTACAAAGCAAAAGAAGCCAAAAGGTATCCACTGTTCTAATTACCTCTTAATTTTGATTAAAATGAGGATCACATTGGAAGTGATAATTTACTTAGAAAAGTTTGACGATGGGCACACTACATATCAAAGCCTGTGGGATGCAAACAAAACTGTATTTGAGGGGAAATTCATTATATATACATGTACATTATCTATATATAATGAATCTATCTATCTATCTATCTATCTATCTATCTATCTATCTATCTATCATCTATCTACCTGAGCCAGCTTTTCATTTTATTAATCTCAACAGTTTTATTTATTTATTTATTTAATTCTTTTAAAAAAAGATCTCATTTACTTATTTGACAGAGAGAGACACAGCAAGAGCAGGAACACAGCAGGGGGAGTGGGAGAGGGAGAAGAAGGCTTCCCACCGAGCAGGGAGCCCGATGTGGGACTCGGTCCCAGGACCCTGAGACCATGACCTGAGCCGAAGGCAGAAGCTTAACGACTGAGCCACCCAGGTGCCCATTACAGTTTTTTTGTTTTGTTTTGTTTTTATATTAAGTAATATTTTCCTTTTACTTTCCTGTTTTTTAATATTTTCTAATATATATGTTTTCTACATATCCTAACATACAAAATTCACTTCTAAAACTGCCTCTCAGGAGGGGCAGACCTGGATAGCTTTATCGGTGAATTCTTCCAAACTTTCAGAAAATTATCATGTCATATAAAGTGTTCTAGAAAATAGTAAAAACTAGAAAATCCTTGCCAAGTCATTAGTATAACCTGATAGCAAAGCCAAACAAGATGGCATGAACATGGAAACCTGCAAACAGAAACCAGTTTTTACAGAAAGGAGTCAGGACCCAATGTGATTTATGCAACAAATGAAAAAATGTTTCAGAAGTAAGCAATCTATTAATGTGATTTATAAACGTTAACAGAAGAAAAACTATAGGATCATCTCAAGAGATGGCATAAAGCAGTTGATAAAACTCACATTCCTACTTTAAAGCGTTTAGGAAGCCAGGAATAGGCAAATGCATCTTTGTTTTGAGAGTATCTACTAAATGTAGAGGAGGCAACATACTTAATCATGTAGCACTGCAAGCAGGTGCCTAAGGACAGCAGCAGGACACAGACCGAGTGCCAATGTCACTACCGCTTCGGGGTGTAGCACAGATTGTCGTCAGGGCCGGAAGACGAGCAAGGGAAATCAGTGTAAATCATGGGAAAAACTGTAAAAATGTCCTCCGTGTGGACAAGATGAGGATCTACCTAGAATAGCTAAGAGAATCATGTGAAAGACTATTAGGACTAAGAATCTATTAGGTGCTAAGTTATAAAATATAAACATAAAATCAATAGTGATCTATACACTATCAGAAACGAATCAGCACGTGTAATAGATAAAAGAGATCTCATCCACAATGTCAACAAAATGTATAACATACTGAAAAACCTCTGAACAACAAAAGTAGGAGAGGTCTGAAAAAAATCGCTACAACTTGAGTGAAAGTAAATAAGTGGAGACAAGTATGACACCACTGGATGGGGAGCCTCACTATTATAAAGACATAGATTTTTCCCAAATAGATAAATGCATTTGAAGCAATCTGATCAAAACTTAATTTTTTTTCAACATGAAGAGAAGATTGTAAAAAGTCATTTATATGAGTAAAGGATTGAGAAAAGTTAAGACACTTTATAAAATATCATCAACAAAAAACAACTGTGAAGGGAAGACCATCTACTGGATATCAAGGTATGTTACGAAGTTATTATAATTGAAATAAAGTTGTATTTGTACACAAATGGGACTTCTGCACCCATGGAACAAAACAGAGAGCATAAGGCGACCAGGCTCATGAAATACAAGAAGGTCAATATATATTAAAGGGGGCATCTGAAGCCAGCAAATAAAACATGAATTATTTCCTAACAATTTGGTGACAAATGCTTAATTTGAAAAAATAAGGTTAGATCTTACCACGTATCATCCAGAAAAGCAAAGAACAGAGGAACTAAAGGGCTAACTGTAAGTTACCTTGCTCAGAATTGTCCCTGTGTGGTGCAAGGTGATAATAAAAAGACTGACTTTTATTGGACTTATTACTGTTTTAAAATTCTCTACAAGACATGCACCCTTACTGCTTGCACCCTGGACGGATGGCTCCCACTCCCGTGCTCCCTGCGGGGGTCACCGAGAGGCAATCTTTGACAGGCACTGCGAGGACACGTGCGCTGACATTTCTATCATTAACTGTTAATAGCAAGCAGGACAGTGTGGAGAGTAAGAGGCCGATTCTGCTAAAATACAGAACTGTGTTTCTGAATGTACTATACATACGTGAGTGCACAAATACATACAACTCCAGTTATTTTGGGGGAGATGGCGGGGATTTAGGTTGTGGTGGGGGGGACTGTATCTGTATGTTCACAATTTTTTTTTACATGATATTCATTTATTTACATAATTAAAAAATAGGCAGTTAAAAACACATATACATCCCTGTATGTGTATGTACACACATATAAGATCTAACCTCATGAAATATATCTAACCGTATAAAATACATATGTATATGTATTTTGTATTATATGCATGCGTGTGTGTATATATATATATTTTTTTTCTTTGAGAAGACTGCCTTCTCGGGAGAGCAAGGAGGGCCCAAGTTAGCGCAGCACCACTACCATCTAGCGGGGAGGAGAGGACACTGCCAGGGGACAGAAGCAACACACTGGTCCTAGAGCTTTTTGGCTGGCCCCGTCTTCTATCAAGGCCTTGCAAGATGACCACCAGAAGACAACTTTCAAGCCACCTCACAATAAACAGGAAGCTTCACGCAGCCAGTTGTTGGGGATACACGGCAAATGAGTCATGCAGACAACCCTCAAGGATATCCTTTCGGGCAAGTGACCCAAAGTCTGCAAAACAGTCTCCACTTGAGCTAGATAAACAAGGAGTCATCACTGAGCAGAAGTTTATATTTCTACTGTACGATCACAACAGTCCCACATGGCAGATTTGTAATGCTCTGCTTTTACAGAGGAAAACACGAGACCTTGGACCAAAGAAAGGATGTTTTCTAGGCAACATATTAGCAGCTCAGGCAGGACTGATGCCCGATTCTGTGACCTGAGGGCTTCCGAGCCCACAGCTATGTTCACGGGGACGTTGTGATCAGGGATCTGGCTGATGCATTCATAGATGGGCATTGTGGCAGACGCTGGTGATGTCCCCGCCTGTATCCCTTAGAGCTACCCGACCTGCCTGCAGCCATGGGGGACAGTTTCTGGCTCACTGATCATTTACCACCGCAGACCTGGGTCTCTCCCTTCTTTGCCTGAAGGATTTCTCAGGCACCATTGCAAACGGGTTGTGCGTGGAGTTGATGCTCCCTTGGGTGGGGCCACTCTGTACCAAAGGCAGATGGGAGACTGTGGATGAATGCTCCTGTCCTCGGGTGGGGGGTGTGTCCCATGTGGTTCTCTGTGGGTCCCTGGTGGGATGGAGCCCCGGCTGTGTATAGCCTACCTTAATAGGCCTCTCTCACTGCCCTGGCTCACTCTTGGGGTTCCTGGGCTCTCCTCCCACCTAAAACCTACATCCAAATCCTTGACTCGGAGCCTGCTTTCGGTGAGACCCAAACTAAGAATGCAGGGCACGGTGGCTGAGTACTACTGGAGATGCAGTGGGGTTCCAGAAGTGGCTGTGGTTTCTCCAGGAGCGTGAAAAGTCAAGTTGACAGCAATGTGAGCCTACAAAAGGCAGAGGCAACCTAACTAGATCTTCCATTAGACTCTCAGTTTCAAAAGCAATCCATTGCTTCTATAAGGTCATTCAAAGCAAATGGTGTGTGAGTGCACGTGCATGTATGTGTGTGTGTGTGTGAGAGAGAGAGAGAGAGAGAGAGGGTGTGTGTGTGTGTACGGGTGCATTTTTCTATGGAGAGAGCCCATAGCTTTTATCATAATCTCAAAGGAGGTTCCTGAACTAATCCATGTGGGCAGAGCCACTGAGGATTCTGAGAGGGGGTGGGAGGTGGCTGAAAAAAATCACAGAATGTGAGTAAACTGTGCCCCGAGATTTCATATTGAAATAACATTTACTGTGTCTAGGACAGAGCTTAGTTCATTCTAAACATTGTCTTATTCACTCATTGCATCATTCTTGAAGGGGGTTGTAATAGTATCTACATTTACAGATGAAGAAACTGAGCCCTTGCCCAGGTCACACAGCTGGATTTGAAGCCAGGCAGCCTGACTCTAGACCCCATACCCTTAACCCTGAGCCAGTGGCCCTCCAGCTTTAGGACAGCAGAATCCCTAGGACAGCTGGTGACCACACATGCCCAGACCCCATCCCCAGAGTTTCTGAGCAGGCAGGGCCTGAGCATGTGTATTTCTAACTTGTTCCCTGGCGGTGCTACGGTTGCTGTCCTGGGGGCCACATCGCAAACCCACTTGGAACCGTAAGCAGCTCTCGTCTCCAGAGAGGAGATCATGGAGTCCTAGAGAGGGGATGTGAGCTGTTAGGCCACTCAGCTACTTAGCAGCAAACCAAGATGAGAATCTGGGTCTGTGATTTCAAAACCTTTCCACACCACTCACGCTTGGAGGAGGGCACGTCCTGCTGAAAAGTGTGCACCAGTCTGATTACCTGATGTATGTCCAGCCCCTGGGAACCGGCGTTGGGAGAAGACAATTCCTCGCTTGGCTCCTCTGAGCCCATGCGGGCCCTTCCCCACCTCCTGGCCTTCCGGTCTGCAGCGTGGGGGGCCTCCTCAGGCTCGCTGCTGTCTGAGGTCTCCCTGCTGGCTGCCTGGGGGTTGAAGTTCACATCCAGCTCTCCCTGCAGGCGCCTCTTCTCTGCTGTGGGGTCCCTGGGGGCCTTCCTCTGCAACCAGGACAGTCTGGCCCGGCGCCCAGCTTCCCGGGAAGAGCCTGCAGAGGAGGTCTCCGAGTCGGAGCACATGGCCTCGGGGTTCGGGGAGAGCCCGGAGTTGGTGGCTGAGGGGGCTTGGTCTGAGCCCTGGGCCTGTGTGGGCTGAGGCTGGGGGTTCCTGGGCCGGCCTTGGGGCCGTGGGCACAGTGTGCTCAAGGCCTCACTCCAGTCAAAGTCCTCCTCACTGTCAGAGCCCATCTCGTTGTAGGCAGAGGCCATGCTGGAGGCTGCCTCCAGGGCCTGGAACGTGCCACTCTTAGGTTTGGTCAGCAGGCAGGTGTGCGACAGAGTACCATCCTTCAGGGCCACCCAGTTCCCGTCGGGGCTCTGCAAAACCTCGGCCAAGTCTGTGGGGGGGGGAGGGAGAAACCAGACAGGGCTGTTATCACCTGACAGCAAGGCGAGGCTGCCATCTGCGTCTTCCCCACCACTGGCTTGGGGTCCTGGGAAGCAGCTGACTCTGGGAAGTCCAAAAGGGCACTTCTTTAGGAGGCAGAATTGAAGGTCCCCAAGAAGTCCCTTGAGGGCTTGCAGGCCCCAGTGCTTCAGACATGAGGAGACACTCAGAGATTGGGCTCCCAGTGCACCTCTGCTTGGGTAGAGAGTCACCTCGACCTCAGAATGGTCCCTCTCCTGCCCTGGGCTGGCCGGGGTGGAGAAGGGTGGGGAGGGCTACTGTTGGCAGCCCTGGTCTGGCTCTTTGCCCTTGGGCCATGGTTTTCTCTGGTTGGATGGGAGATGACTCTATCACCTGCCCTGGCCTCCCTCAAGGTTAATACATTCTGTCCTTGGCACTTCTACAGATCTCACCCACAATGGCCTTGTGGGATGGCAGGGTGAAATAAGATATATGTGTACACACACACACACACACACACACACACGCACATGCACACGCATACACACCGGATTCTACCCCCAGGTCCTGCTAATATTTGGTCTTTGACCCCATTTCATTACACAGGGCTCCTAAATTAAATCCCTTGTAATTTCCTGGGTGGTGGGAGCATCTTTACATCTAAGGAGGCGGCTCTGGGTGGCTTCAGGACGGGACTGGCCACCAGAAAGACCAAGCCATGATTAGAAATTTAGAACTTTGAGCTCCACCCCCATCCTCTGGAGAAGAAAGAAGGGCTAGAAAATGAGTTAATAATTGACTGTGGCTATGTGATGAAGCCTCCATAAATGTCCCCAAAGTCCTGGCTGGCATATCCACGTGCCTAGAGAGGCACCCCAGCTCCTCGGTGCTCAGGACCCTCCAAGGCCTCACCCCGTGAACCTCTTCCTCTGGCTGTTCATCTGTATCCTCTGTTATATAATAAACTGGTGAACGTAAGTGTTTCCCTGAGTTCTGTGAGCTGAGCTGCTCCAGAAAATTACTGAGCCTGAGGAGGGGGTCATGTAGAGCAGGTTGGTCCGAAGTCAAAGTGATGACCTGGGACATGAGCCAGGTAGTCCTGAGCCCTTGACCGTGGGATTGGGAGCTAACTGCAGGGAGAAAGGGTCAGCACAGAACCGGAGGGTACCTGGCTGGTGTCAGAGAATTGGTGGGTATGGAAAAACCCCACACATCTGGTCCCAGAAGCGTTCTGTGTGAGTGGCGGGCGAGTGACAGTGTTTATTCCTGCTCAGCACGTAAGTTTATTTTCAACTCAAGGCACATGCCTCATTCTGGAAAGGACGTGAGGGAGAAAGAGGTTGGTAGTTCCAATCTTATTTGACAGATGGGGAGACAAAGGTGAGCGAAGTCAGTAACTTGTCGAATGTCACAGAGCCCATAACTGGTGAAGCAGGGATGAGGTGCATCTCCATCCAAAGCCAGGACAGCTCTGGCTTATAGATTGTGCTGTGGAAGCCAATCAAGGCACTGATCAAGGGCAGGCTGGAGTGGTTCTCAGTGTGGGGTCATGGTCTGGGGTGGCCTACGTTGGGCTCAGTTTTGTCCAGAGCATCTGTGATGGCGGGTGGCTGGGGCCTCAAGGGTTGATCTGCATGCCAGGGGGTGAAAGTTGCTTTGTCTTATTTTTGTGGAAGCCAAGCAGGAGAGTGTGCCTGGGCCGTGAGTAGGACGGCACGGTGCTCCTCAGCCCCGAGTACCTGGCACAGCCCCCTGGCCTGGGGCACAGCAGCTGCCAACAGAAGCCGTGTTCCCGTATTAGGAACCTTACAGGACTCCCTGGGGATTGGGCAGTGAGGACCGTGGGGCTCTGGAGGAGACCCACTTGTGTGTGGACACCAGTTTCTGGGCTTGAGGACTCCCCAGCTCTGCTGTGCTGGGACACTGAGGTTGCGTCCTGACAGATGCCATTTCAAACACAGATTTCCTACCAACTAAGTGAGTACTGTTTCGTGTAATGAAATTAAAGTTATCGGTGTTTCACAGTGTTGTCCATAGAGCGTTGTACTTGCCAGGACTGCTGAAGAACCACAGCCTTCAGGTAACTCAGATGCTGGTTGAACACATTTTCAGCTCAGAGACCCAGTGGCACTTAAGCTGACTGCAGCCCAGGCTGGCGGGACATCCGCATTCCCTTTTGTCAAGTCAGAAGGTGGGGCTTCTTCTCCTCCAGGGGGATTCTGGGCCCAGTGGGGGCTGATTTAAGCATCGTCTTCCTGGAAGCCTGAGGACCTGAGGGCCTGGGTCCTGCCTTTCCCTGGCTGCTCCCTGTATCCTTGGGGTCTGTCCCCACCACCGTCTCCACATGGCAAAGCTCCAGTGACCTCTCAGAGACCTCATCGGCTTGGTTCTGCTTTTCCTAGAGCACTTGCTTGCCTCCCTGCCCAGATGTGGCCTCCTCCTTCCCCGAGTCCCCCTGCTGTGACAGCCTGTCCGGCTCATTCCATGACCCAGTCTGGGTTCTGGCTGATCGTGCACATGGCTGCGCCCTCCTCCCGAGGATGACAAGGTCCCTCTGGCAGGGGCTGGATCTCAGTGACCTCTCCAGCCTGCTCCGTCCCGAGGCCAGTGGGTGCAGAGGGAAGAGCAGAGGCTGTGGAGTCAGGGGCCCCGGGTGGAAAGCTCTGGGAGCTTCTCAGCCTTGGTACTCTCATTGGTGAGAGGGGCACAGCTAAGCCCTCCCTGGCTCCGTGTGGGGATTAAATGAGGTGACACCCATCAAGTGTGTTACATGTGCCTGCTCAGAGCGGGAGACGAGTTCTTAATAGCGCTTTCCCCCTTACCCATCCCTGGGCTGCTTTAGGGCAGGGAGAAGAACAAGAACTTTGGATTCAGGTGGAGCCAGGGCTGAGCCCCAGCGGTTGTGATTCCTGGCAGGGGACCTTGGTCAAAGAGCACCTCTGAGCCCATTTCCTGACCTAAAGGTGGGGACAGTGTGACCCTCCGTGGCCGTCAGAGGATTTTTATAAGTCAACATACGTAAAGCCTCGATCATCCTGTCTGCTAGCCCTCAGCCTGCCTATCTTCTGCCTGTTGAGTTGGCTTCTACTATTATTTCCCCCTGACTACAGATCAGCACCATGTACTCCATACATAGGTATATGTATCTACCGATCCTGTAGTTACTATTGCGTACCACACGACCCTGCTTTCATCAGCCGTGGAAACATTCAGAAGAGAGCCTAATGAAGGTGTTATTACCATTTACATGTAACGGTCTCTGCCTGTTGTGGGGGTAATGGTTGGTCTTCTGGGGAAAGGGGTTTCTATGTTGCCTGCATTTTCCCAATGCCATGTCCCAATCTCGTGGGTCAGGTGGTGCTGAACTCAGGGACCAAAGAGGCCACCTGGGTTTCTCCAGAAATATGCAGGCTCTCTCTCCGAGAGGCTATTAATGGCCAGTAAGTGGTGATTTTGATTTCCCCTGTAGCAGGCGCTGTGGATGGCTTCGGCGTACACCCTTTGGGCTTCCAACTCCCAGCACTTGGGATTCTTGGCCTGAGGTGGGCTCTGGTTACCGGAGGCTGCTTGGCTGCCCCAGGGGTGAGGGGCCATCACAGCCTCCGGGAGCAGCCCTCAACCAGTGGCAGGGGAAGCTGGTGGATTGTACCTCCACTCCCTTGCCTGCTGCCCAGCAGAGTGTTCTACCCTGGTCCTTACTGTTCCCCAGTGGGGATGAGCTCCAGTCCAGCTCCCTAAGGAGTCATTTGCTTGCCTTGCCTTCCCTTCCCTGTCTTATGTCCCCTCCCCTCTCTGTATTTCCTGAGCTCCCCTCCAAATAAACCACAGTTCCTCCGATCTTTCTATTAGAGTCTGGACACAGAGACATTCCCACGATGCAAAGCGGACTCAGCCCTGGCTGTGGAGAGGGTTCACTCTGAGGGGAGAGGTGTGCCCCCCTCCCCGGACCCTATACTTAGTTGCTAAGTCAGCTCTCTGGCTGGGCTTCGGAGACCCAACTCACACACTGCTTCTCAAGGGCACATCCTTGGCCTTCTTTCCTTAAGAAGCTAGGCTACTCTGTTCTCTGGGCTTTGCCAAAAAGCTTTCATTTTTGAAGACTTAATCTATACTATAGTTAATTTTCTTGGTTGTCTACCTCCATCCCCCTTGCCCTGGGGCCATGGGAGGAAACCACAGCGGGAAAGCCTCCGTGAATGCCACTCTGTGCCGGCTCCCGGGCTGACTGTGTTGTAAACGTGGTCCTGGTCATGCACCTGCCTTTGACACCTGCTACGTGGAGGGCAGGGATTCAGTCCACCACTGGCCCCTCTCTGCTGCCTTTTACAATCCCAGTTCATCATGGTCCTCTGAGGAAGCTAGAAGCTGACCAACTTCCGTCTCCGCAAAAGCATAGTGGGCTCCCTGAATGCCCACCCCTGTGAAATCCTGGTTGTCAAGCTGCATGGTCGGAGCTGCTCAAAGCTGTACCTGGCCTCCACTACCACACTCTCTTAGTCCTCTGGGAATATCCATTGGGGATCCTGCGCCCTTCCGTTCTCTCCTTTGTCCAAATTCTTTCTCTTTCGTGACTGCGCGGACAACCACCTGTCAGCAACTGCAGAGAAGGGGCTGTCCCCTGATTGCTATTTCCCAGCACCGAGCACATGCTGTGCATAGAGTAGATGCTCAGTCAAGGTCTATCAAGTGGAAATGTGTTTGGGGAGACAGCCATTGACTGCTGTAAGCTCTGCGGAGGCTCAAAGTGGACCTGCTGTGGTTTACTCAGCCCACAGTGTCCCTCCAGCTGACCCCAACTGTGAATTAACATGCTCTGGAAGCAACATTTCCCCTGGGGCATAAACAGAACTGCGGAAAATAGCCCAGGGGCCATTAACCCAAGATGACCTCCACCTCTGGGTCTCCTCTCTTCTACATTTCTGCTCTTCTGAGACTGGGTAATGCCCCTGGGAATAATCTGCTTCCCGCTCAACAGGTCAGACACCCCTCAAGACCTGTGGGGTTGGCTGGACATTTTAGCATGTCAAGGCCAAGCATTCCTTGGAAAAAACAGAGGTTTTCTACACAAGTGCTTTATAGTTTTGTAATTTTAAATCTCCATCCTTAGAGAGGCATGGATGTTTGAGAAGAGTGTTAAATCTTTTCTGTGTGTGCTATTGTTGAACTAAATTTTATGTTTATATACAACTGATAAATTATATGTGGGTGCTTTATTTTACAGACTATCAGGTAAAAAGAAATCATGTTTTGAAGATCAAAACCCTTTCCAACTTTATTTGGAATGCTCCTAATTCAGCAAGGACCTATTTTGGGAGATGGAGTGTTTTCCAGAAGTTTTTATAATCTCCTCTAAACTTACCAGTGTGTAAGTGTGAATTTTGAAAGGCTATTTGTTGGGGTGTTATTTGTTTTTATGGAGGGGAGATACTTATTATCATGCAGTAGCTGAAAAAGCCTGCAAATTGCAGCCATGATGTTTGCGTTTGGCCCCGTTAACCGAGGGATCTTGAACAAGTCATTCACCCTCATTGTCCCTCAAGGTTCTTATCTGCCACACAAGAGGATGGCAACGCTTAGCAGCGCTGTTGGAGGAATGAATAAAATAGTGCCTGCAGATGGACCCTGTACAGGGTAAAGTGATTTTTAAAGGGTAGTTATTATTGTTTATTGAAGATAAACATATGCCCTGTGGAATTTTAGAGTCCCCTCTCTGTGGGAACTTTCAGTCTCTGGTGAGAGATAAAGGAGGAAAGACTATGAATGAATGAACAGATACGCTGGGCAGCAGGAAGAAAGGAAAGAAAAGCTTATTTAGAATGGAAAAATGCACTTCACAAACAGACACCCAAACCATATACATAAATAGGGAACATTTCCTGTGCTCCCAGAATCTCTGCAGATTCTACCGATGGGTTCTACTAAAAGGTTCACATGGAAATGATCTCTTTTGGGGGAATTTTTGGAATGACTGTTAAAAACATTGCATGGTTTGTGGTTCTTTGCACCGTGAGAACAATGGAATTTGTTTCGATAGCTGTTAGTTCAATCTTTTCCCTTAGAGAGTAGAAACGATAGCACAATCTTTAAGAGCATATTTCTAAGATGAATATTTTGCTGCTAATTTTTGTGGTTGTTGTTCAGAAAAGGATTCTAGATCTGACATACAATGGGAGTTGAGAATCCTTTCGTGGTTTCTTCTTGTGAGAACAATGCGCCTAGCTTCCGTTACGTGTAGCCAGGTGAGGAAAGAACAGACCTGTGCCAGAGTGGAGTGAGCATCTTGACTCAGACAGTCAGTCATGGAGCCCAAGAGACCTTGGTGGCCTGAGCAGGGGGCTTCACGGCCCCCGGTTGTTACCCACGTGGTGGCAAGCACCTCACAGCCTTCGGATGTGTGACTTTGGGAAAGCGATTTGGCTAATTTGAGTGTCCTCACTGTGAAGGATTACATGACTTGCCAGGTTTATAATGGGCTGCGTTGTGGATGTTGAGTCTCTGGAGAGGTGAGTTCAAGTGCTCTATGCAGGGGCGGGACATTCGAGGAGAAGGAGCGGGCAGAAGGGGCAGCATGCCATCCTCAGGCGCCGTGGGGATGACAGCTGTCCATCAAAGACTCGTGTGCCCCGCCCGTCTCTTGGCAGAGCTGTGTTGCTGGGATGCGCCCACCCAGGACATCTGCCAGACCCTCTGCATTGAAGTGGGGGCTGTGTGACTGGTTCTTGCCTGTGGTCTGGGAGTGAAAGTGGTGTGGGCCATGTCCCTGCTGAGGTGGTTAGGAAGCAGGTGCCCTGACTTCTCTGTTCTCTCTTCCTCCATCTGCTGGCCGATGTGAATGACCCAGCAGAAGGCTCGGAGGCCGTGGAGGACCGCAGAGCCTCGGGCCTCCGAAGGCCTCCCACAGCCAGGACATTGCATTGCACTGGTGTGTGATGAGAACTTAAACTATTATGTTAAGCCACCTAAATGTTTGGTTTGTTTGTTATAGGAGCGAGTATTACCCTAACTACCATGTCAGGTTTCAAAAAAGATCCTCTTAAAACCAGCCTTGCTGGGACCACAAATCCTTCTGAACACTGAAATACCCTGGCTAGGTTGGATTAGCGTTTCTGGCCTGCATGAGGCACATTCTCCTGGTCCACGTGGAACTGGAAGCCAAAACGTGGCCACGTAGCCGAGGCATTTTCACACCTTGGCCCCGGAGCCCCCCACTGTCCCACAGGTCTCAGCCGGAAGGCTGCACAGTGGAAAACACCACCATGTTATACGTGTGTGCTGCGCTAGAGGCCTCGTGACCCTGTGGCTCAGCTGCCCCAATGGGCCCACACCAACTCGGGCTGAGGGAGGGAGGAGAGGCTGAGTGGGAAGAAGCCTCCAAATAGCACTCCTGGGACCCACAGACCAAGCAGATGCTGCTTAAAAACCGTTACTTGTCTCGTCCAGCCTGTCGGTGCTCCTCCAGCTGGGCAAGGCGGCCTCCTCCCGCGGCGGCCGGCCCTGGCCCCTCGGTGGCCTCGACACAGCCTCCAGGGAAGGGGTCTTCGGGGCATCCTCTCTGCGGAGTGAGGACGAAGACTGGGATTGCTGTGGAGAGAAAAGAGAGGAAGAGGGTGGGCAGAGGGGCACAGTCACCGGGAGGGATGCCTTTTGCTTTCTGGTAGATGACACAGCATGGAGAAGTCACTGACGTTCGACGGTGTTGGCTCTTCCGGCGTTGAGGCTTAAAAGCTGCAAATCACGGGTGCCTGGGTGGCTCAGTCATTAAGCGTCTGCCTTCGGCTCAGCTCATGATCCCAGGGTCCTGGGATCGAGCCCCACATCGGGCTCCCTGCTGGGCGGGAAGCCTGCTTCTCCCTCTCCCACTCCCCCTGCTTGTGTTCCCTCTCTCGCTGTGTCTCTTTCTGTCAAATAAATAAAATCTTAAAAAAAGAAAAGCTGCAAATCAGTGCATAACGCCGTATCGGCACCCACGGTGCCGTTAATGCCACAGCAAGCTGGCCAGGCCCACCCGAAAGCGGCACAGACATAGTGGGGAGTGGCTGCTGACAGCCTTCAATCCAGCCATCCTCCTAGCAACATGTCTTAGGCCACCTGTGCTCAAAAAGGGAAGCATCTTCCCCCAGAAGACCTCCAAACCCGAATCAGGGCGGCCCAGACAGGAAGTTCCAGCGCAACGTCAATGCTACAACGGATTCGTGAGCCAAGTATGGCCCATCCACAAACCTACCCCTATTGCAACACATTCCCATTTAGCGTCTAAATTAAAGAAGGGAAAAAACTGTTGTCTAAGAAGTGGTGGAGGAGAGATTTCAAAGGACGGGCAGGAGACATGTTTGAATTGTATCACACATAACATGTCACGACATACATACAAACATATATATGTTACGAATGTTACAAAGAATTTGAAGCTCGGAGATTAAAGAGTTTCATCAAACAGGAAGAGGCCAGATGACTTAATTCCCTGAGAGGTGTGGAAACTTAGCCTTTGCCCATCGCACAGTAAATGCATAACAAGTGGGAGCTTTAAAAATGAAAATGACAATGACAATGAAAAAGAGCAACACCAGCGTCAGGATGTTTGGGTGACAATGCTGAGCCTCATGGCTGGAATTTGGAGAGCAGACGAGGCACCCTGAAGGATGGTTGACCAGGTTGAGAAAAAACACAGAGATAGCTGAGGATCAAGGTCTGGCATCCCCATCATTGCAGGCCAGACCAGGACCCAGGAGCCCTCAAATATAGGCCCTCTGGCACACTTTTCTTGGAGAGGGTGGTACATGTGAGTTCTGGTTCAGACAGAGTATAGCAAACGGTTTCTACTTCCCCCCACAGACAGGAGGCTGATCTAGGAGGAAGATGGGTTTGCAGAATAAATATGGAACCTCTAAGATGTGTACCCAGGGTCACAGTATGCCTCTCACCCTTGTGACTAGAGAAGAGCGATGAGGGGCCTCCAGACCTGCCTTTCCCTACAGCACTCACAGGTTCACATGGCCCCGGGGCAGACAAGTTCTCCCCATCTTATCAATTCCGTAAGATTCTCTGTGCATTCAGTTCACATAAGCCTTGGCTTATGGGAAATGCCCTACCCCAAGTTGGGCTGGGGGTCCTGGGCTTCCTCTATGCTTACTTGTGCCTTATTGCACTCTATTGCACAATCTGGTTTTTGCCAAGAAACTGTGCAACTGAGGGCAGTTAATGGCCTGTTAATGGCAGCTTAGTGACTGGTACAGAGCTGGGAATTAGTGCACGTTTGTGGTGGGGTGAATGTAATTTGGGGTGGGCTACAGGATGGGTTTTCAGAAGTGCCTGATTTTTTTTTCCCTCCACTAACTTCTTGGATAAAATTGAAGAGCAAGAGAAAGAAAGAAGAAGCTCACCATCATCCTCACTTACATCATGGAGGGCAAGGTCTAATTTGGAGGACAGCCAAGCTAACACACACACATCAAGGGCTTTCAGCTGAGTGCCACTCCCTTTATTCCAAGGGCAAGAAAGCCTGGACCTTGACCCTCATGTCCTGAAAACCAAGGGTTTCATGGAGATAGGTATTCAGGGAGCCATCTATGATTTTGCTAAATCCTTAACAGATGATGAGCAGCTGGGAACAGAGATCAAATCTGACGGTCAAGTGAAGTTACTAAAAAATGAAGAAAAAAATTCTTCTATGGCAAACTCCTGGGTACTCAGGGAATATACCCCTGAGACGCATCCCACTGTGGTCTGGCAAGAAGTCTCCTGTTCTATGTGATCCCACACATAATTCCATATACTTTGTTACAGTCCTACTACAACTTGTCAGCTCTTCCAAAGACCGTGAGCTCCTTGAAGGCAGGAATGGTCTTTTGGGTGTGCTCCTTGGTCGCCTGCTTGTGATTGAATTTACAGGACTTTAGACGGAGGTCTGGCCCTTAGGGAGCGGATAATCTATTGCCAGGTGCCGTATGGAGCCATTTTCTATGCCCTGGCTTTCCTTTTTTTTTTTTTTTTTAAATGTATCTGCCAGTTTCTCACTATAAATCACTGAATACATGTTTACAAACAGGGAAAAATGATATTTAATGTTTCATTTTACAGTGGGTCACCTGGTATTTTATATTTGTCTGTATGTGTCTTTAGGAGGTAGCTTGGGTCCATTTTTATGGGACAAAAATGCTCCCCGTCTACAAAAGCCAACACCAAGAAATGAAAAGTCCCTCTGGTTCTAACACGGAAGATGGAATCTGTGTTCTTTGTGAGAGAGTTGGGGGCGCCAGACTTTTATATTCGATTTCAGGCAAGGCATTGTTTCACACTAGAAGAAAACTATACCCTGACGATCACAAAAGATCCCAAGATCTGGCTTCGATAGGTCTCAGGGCACTGCTGGCCCAGTCTCCAACCAGGCTGGAGACTGGTTCTAAGGGTGGAAAACTAGGTTCTGAGACCCAGACCTCGTTTTTTGCCACAAATTCACTGCAACAACCATATTTCCCAGCAGATGGCGCCACGATAACGTGTTTACTCACCAGTTAGTTCCATCTCAACGGCTCCTGGGAAGTGATGGGATTACTTGAGTCAATTATTTGCTCCTGACCCTAGCTGGGCCTTTGTGCCCACTCTTTTCGTTCTCACCCACAACCTCTGCTTTCCTTCCCTTTCTCTTACCCACCCTAGTGCCCACGGAAGAAGCAGGGCTGATAATATCAGGAAGGGCTGCATCGGCACGTCTATACAGGGAAGGCCGGGAGTGGTGGGTCGAGGATGTGACAGCAAAGTCTTGAAGAACTTGAACTTGAGGATCTGAGCTTTGAAACAGGCCAGGCTCAACTTTTCAGGCACTAATGGGTGGTGTGGTAGGCAGTGGGTCAATATCAGCTCTTCCTCCTGCTCTGTGGGATCTTGTAGTGTGTGTGTGTTGGGGGGGGACGTCAACTCTTTTGCACCTCAGTTTCCTCATGTAAAAGGATCAGTGTCATGCCTGGTGCCTAAAAAGCACTCAATGAGTATTAGTCAAAATTAGAGTATTTATTACGCTCTACTGCTGAGCCAGGGCAACATACACATCCTCTCTCTCAACCTGGTAGAGTGTACGTGAGGAAACTGAGGCAGGGGTTGAATAACTTGCTCAAGTACATGGCTGGCCAGGGGCAGAGGCAGGGTCTGAGCTGGGGTCTGTCTGGTCCCAAGCTGTTGCGATTCCATGCCTTCTCCATGCTGTGCCGAGCCCACGCCGCGAGCCTGGGAACGCTGCCCTCCTGGCTAACCTGCTCTGGCCCAGCAGGACTTGCCATGTGAACCAGCCAGCTCTGTTGCTCTGGGCAAAACCCACAGCGTGATCGTGAGGTACCTCTGTGAGACCTTCCTCCTCCGTAGGTGCTGCCTATGCCGTGTGGGCAGCAGCATGACGTGCTCCCTACATCTCCTGGAACGGTCTACGGTCGCTACGACGGCTGGGACTATCAGCACTGCCAACAGGGCAGGCTCCCTGAGGCACTGACCACGGCTTCAAAATGGTCTTTGCTCGCAAGAAGGCTATTCCATAAAACAGGGAGAGGATGAATGTCAACGGAGACAAAGCTTTGCTTTGTATTTTTAGGGTCAGGCATAGATACTAAATTCAATCCAATAATTATAAATAATGAAAAATACTTTAGGTCTATCCTGTAGTCACTCAAAGGAGAGAGCAAATAGGAGGGAAGAAGGGACAGAAACACAAGAGAAAAGGCTGAGAAAAACAGAGAGGGATAGAGGAGGGACAGAGAGATGCCTCTTGGTCACCGGACACATCCTAAGAGCCTGGCCCCTGCTGTCATTATGGTTCTTATCAATAGGATCACCAAGTTATTACGAAGACAACTTTGGATATATACATGCCCAAAGAGACGGGCATTAAATGAATGACAAGCCCTGCACTGTAGGCTTTTAGGATATTGCATCTTAAGGCTTTGAAAGCTGGATGGCACTGACCCCCCCTTCTTCTGGCAGAGAACAACACAATAAGGGAGGAAATTAAAAAGAGAATGATCACATTCAAATTTCTTTCAAGAGGACAGACGAGAACTCCCTGCTCAAGTACATGGCTGGCCAGGGGCAGAGGATGGATTGTGTTTGGGTTTCGCAGTTAAGCGCAAGTAGCAGGGCCTGCAGTGTTCTGGGTTTCTGCATTGTTATGCCCTAGGCCAGAGGGGTCCAGGTTGTTGGGTAACAGAGGAAAAGGGGAAGGCATTGCCTGGAGGCCACAGGGTTACGGCCTCCACAGTCTAGAGGTCAGGGAGCTCTCCTCAAGATAGAAAGAGGCTATCCTTAAGCCTGCAGCTCGATGGCCTCACCCGGGCAGATTTGGGTCAAGTGCACAGATGCCCAGGCTCGACTCCAGACCCTGTGAGTCAGAACCCCTGGAGTGCGGCTCTGGTGATGAGGCAGATGAGCATCTAGTGGGGAGACAAGCTGGTCAAAAGATGGGAGGACCACCTTCCGTGAAGTCCCCAAGAACCAAGACTTGGCTCGCCGCTTCGTGTCCAGGCTCTGGCCAGTGACGAGGCACATTTCTGCATTTATGCTCTGCTTATCACTTCCTCCTGATCTCAACTCTAGACCAACCCTGTGCAGTAAAACCTTCTGGGGTGATGGAAATGTTCTGCACTGTCTAGTACAGTAGCCGCCAGCCAGAAGTGCTACTGACCACTTGAAATATGGCCAGTGTGATGGAAGACTGGATTTTAAACTTATTTCATTTTAATTAATTTAAATTTGAACAGTCATTTGTGTCTTATGGCCACTGCGTTGGAGAGTGCAGCCCTAGGCCTGAGAGATCACTGAGTCTGCTGATCTCATTTTATAGAGGAAGAAGCTGGATCAAGTGTTTTGGAAGAGGAGAAGGTATTCAACTCCCAGCGCCACCAATCACAAGCTGTGGGGCCTTAGGCAACTTATGGTAAAGCTTTAGCCTCAGTTTTCTCATCTATAAAATGGGTCCAATAATACACGCATCTGCACCTTATGATGAGGAGTAAAAGAAATAACATGAGATGGGCAAACATAGTGCCTGCTCCTGTCCCTTCCCCACATGGCCTCATGTGCAGCTGGAACCGCAGTCATCATGTTGCACGACTCAAGGGACACCGCTCACACTGGGTTCTAGGTCAATGGTTGTGCAATATGGCGGCCTTGGCCAGGGTCAGTCCCCCTTAGGCCCTAACTCCGGGATGTGGTGCTAGCACAGACTCTTTCACCACAGGGGACTGGGGCCAAGTGCAGGCCAGGGGTGGGGTGAAAGCATGGGCTTAGCCCCCAAGGGTGAGACACTGCATGGAGCATTGGAGAGGATGACCCTTGTCCCCCGGATGTACCACCTCTTGAGGTCCCGGGCTGGCCCTGCCATGGTGCTGGTCAGAGGGAAAGGGCTTGGGTCCTGACCAAGGGAAGTCAGGCTGGGGTCTGTCCAGGGGTCAAGACCCAGGTATAGCATCAAATGGAATTCTGAAAAGAGATAGGAGGAAGGGAGGAAGGCATGAGACATGGGGGCAAGCAGTGGGTCAGGGGCATCAGGAGGGATCCAGTCCTTTCTCGCAGGCCCTCTGAGGGGCCTGGGCTGGCCAGCTTGTCCTGGCCAGAAAATAGCCTTTCTAAACAGCTAACTAATCAAGAATCAGTGGTTTCTTATCACTGAGCGCTGGGTAAGGAACAGGCGCTCCTTCCAGATAATGTTTTTTAAAAGCTCTCATCCCACGGCTGTCTTTAAACCAAACCAGGAGCTACAAATGGCCTTCACAAGGGTGTGGATCCCAGTGTTTTGCTGAGACGTTAATCCATATAGTTTCCTTCCTTCACAGGTATCCTGGAAGCCAGAGGGGAAGGGTTCAAGTCCAGGCCATGACTAATCCCCACAAATCAACGTTCTGCTATCAGGTGGTCATGGCCCTGTATTGAGGAACAGTTGCCATATGCCCAGCGCTGAGCTGGCCCATCGCCAGAACATACGTGGCCACTGACAATGGGGGGCTAATGATATTGGCTGCTCAAAAGGGCAGACTGGGCCAGGGACCCAGCTGGATACTGGATTTCTCTTTATGCCTAGATTCAGGCTGCTTTGTTTGGGGCAGCTCCCATGAGTACAAGCCTGAGTGGAGAAAGACAAAGCATTCGCGTCTCCCTGACTGATAATGTTGACGAAAATATGCTGTTTACATATTGCAAATCACAACGTAGGGAGAACTCACAGGGAGAGGCCAGGAGGGGACTTCTTCGATCAAACATCAAAGTTAAGGATAGTAGGAGGAGCCAGCGGATGATCTTGTCCCCTCTGTAAGGTGCCAGGCCCTATGATCTGGGTGGTTAAAGTGTTATTTGAGGGGTGTGTCAATGGCCTTTCTGGGCTTTTCTCAAACTACGCCTCAAGGATCTCTCCCACCCCCTCTCACATAGGCGGATTCAAGCCCAGGGAAGGTGTACATAGCTTGCAAAGCACTGTATACCCGAGATTCCAACGATGCCTACAGTGGGAGGGGGACTTCCATTAGGCCTTATTCTATATCAAAATCTAGAAATAAATCATATTCTGCCATTTGCTTCAGGATAAGTAAGTAAGAAATGCATCCGCTCTGTCTCCATTGATGCTGGAAGCCAAAGTGACAATTGGGGTGCGCAGGAGGCAGGCATTTGGTAAAACAGATTTTCTGGTGAGAAAAGGAAACCCTGAGAGGACTTGTTTTAGCAAAGCGAATGGGAATCCCGTGCGACTCTGACCTGCATCCCTGGCGTGCCTGCATCCCAGGTGGACTAGGGTCTCTCCAGCCCCCCGAGGGGCTGAGTGGGAGGTGTCCCTGGGAAGCATCACAGCTGCTTATTTTAAGCTGCTTTCGGCCAGTGCTTGACAAAGGAGTGTGCAGGAAGCACTTTGCTGTCCTCCTGTGGAAAGGGGGGGCCCGCTGCAGCCGTAATCACTGCTGTGCCCACTGTTCGGACTCGTTCTAGAGCCCTCTCTCCCACATCTCCAGTGACACACAGAGTGTCTCCAGCCTCGATGACGTGGCAGGAATACCGTTTCTAGGTTGAACCGTAAGCATGACAAGGAGCCCCCCTGAACATCTGGTGGGAAAACAGGCATTTCCTATCCAAGAGCTTCCCCATGACACAGGAGACAGGAGCAGAGCGGAGGAAATGCTCGGAGCCGCGAGACCTGGGTTCTGGTCCTGCCCCACCCCTCAACTTACTTCCAGTGGCTCAGGCTAGGGCGGCCTCAGTTTACTGGTCTGTAAAATGGGGAGAATGCAGGATGCCCTCACGTGGATCTAACGAAATAATATGTGTGAACTCCCTGTGCACAGAAAGTCTACATAGAGAAATATTGGTCATATGCTGAGCCTGGGGGGGATTCGCACCTCCTAGAGCCCCTCAGATCTGGCTCTTTCAGAAAATGCTTCCAAAGGACTCCCCAGAAACAGGGCGACACCGTGGATGCAGCCTGCACTCTCAGCAGCAGCAATGGGTTCGTGAAACCTCTGAATGACAAGCTATTTGAAGGTCATGGGCTTCTCCCTCCTCTGAACCCCAAGTCCATTTCCAGTCTCAACCTTTCAGCGAAGCGCCCACAACTGTGGGCTGACTCGTACCCTGGCCTGCTTTGCTAACCAGATCATTCAGTCCCGGAGGGCAGGGATCGAGACTCCTATTTATTTTGCTGTCCTCGGTGCCAAGGGCACAACAGCGCAGTAAAATAAGAGGACGGCATGTTGACAAGGGAAAGTTCTGCCAATAAATCAATGAAGCTAAACCTCCGATAAAGCCACAAAGATGCTCCTTGTTACCCCCATGCATCTGGTGGCTGGTGAGGACATGGGGAGGACTGATGTGGGGGAGGCTCCTGCACATCGCTTCTGGGACTGCATGCCTACCACACAGCTGGGGTGCCCACCCGTTTTTCAATCTGTTCACGGAGGGGATCAATGCCACTGACCCCGAGGAGGAGCGGAGTAAACACGTGGCGTTGCTCTTCCCATGTCTGACTTGCCAGTTTTAAATGGCACCTGGGCGCTGCCCCATCCCCCCCTCGCCCCGGGCCAGCACCGTGGGCTCCTGCCACTGCTAGAAGACGCGCCCTGCCAACCGGTCCCTGCGTTTCGGGCTGGATCTCCGCACAGAAGGCCCGGCTCCTTGGCCGCAGCCTCCGTCCTTCCCAGCCCCCACGTCTTCTGCTGGGGCCACTTCAACAAGTAAAGGATTTTGCAGGCTTGGCGGCTCTACCATAGACATGAGCAGGCCCAGACCGTGGGGTCACAGGAAGGGCCCTGTGCTTTGTGGTTCAGCCCTTGGCTTAATTTCAAGGTCATGGACAAAACGGCTGGGCCACTTCCCGACTCCCCGCCCACGTCCAGAGGTGGCCATTTCGGTGCCTCAAACAGCATGGCAATTTTCTCGCTGTCCCAGCTCAGGTTCAGTAAGGCGAGGGGTGGAAGTTGTAAGGAAACCCGGGGCCCTCATAAAGCTGTTTTCACAGGACCAGTAGTACAACTCTTTTCAGAATGAATTTTAAAAATGCCTGTTGACACCTTTATTTTTCCTAAATGAGTCTCGGCCTCCATATCCTCAGAAGCTTGTCTGTGTTTACTCCCCTGGTCCCCTCTGGCCCCTCCCAGACCCCATCACACACACACTTTCCCTGTTTCTCACCCTGCCCCCCTTCAGGTACCTTTACCCTGTCAGCTGGGCACACGAGTCAACTACAGATGGTCTGGAGTGGTGACCCCACGTCTGCAGAGCGTTGGCTCGGAGCTGCGCCTGAGCAGGACACCTGTGTGGGGTGGGGGAGGGGAGTACCGCTTGGGGACTCACCCAGAGGGTGGAGGGAGCTCGGGGGCCTCCTGGGGGCGCTGTGGTCCCCTGGTCAGCTGCCTCTGCACTGCAGCTCTGGGGCTGTGACCACTCCAGCTCTTCTTCCATTTGCTGTTCGCCTTTGCTCTTCTGTTTCCTTATGATCTGGGGAGGGGGAGGGGGACAAGGGGGGCAGGTTACTGGTCAGGCCTTCAGGTGCTATGTGGAGTAACCGGGACGATCTCTGGGATGTTTTTTAGCCACATAAGAGCTTAGTTTCAATAGCATACCTGCCTGTTTCAGATCTGCCTTTGGGTAAAACAGCACAACTGTAGCCCTCCACATTCTACAGCACTTTACATTTTATAAATAATCCTTTTATGACGCTAGCAACTTCCATTCATTAAATGTTGACCACATGCCAGACTGTTGTAGGCACTGTATACGCTGGACCTCATTTAATCCTCAAAATAATCCTAAGAGCTATGGGCTATAACTCTCCTCATTTTACAGATGAGGAAACTGGCTCAGAGAGGTTATCCGTGAAGGCTGCACAGCTTGTAAAGAGTGGACCTGCATCTTGAACCCACGGTCTCTGGCTGTAAATCCTGGTTTTAGGAAGCATTGGCAGGGTCTGTGAAGGGGGCAGGTACAAATGAGCCATGAGCTGATAGCTCATTTGTACCACTTGCTATGTTGGGTGTAGCCATATGGATAGAAGGAATCTCTCCTTCTATCTAGCCCAGTGGTGTCTGGGCTCCCAGCTTCCTATAGGCAGCTGAGAAAACTGCAGAGCCACCAGTCTGGGTGTATTCTTCAATGTCTTTTTTCGCCCAGACGAGAGAGCAGGAGGCTGAGAGCAGGGAGAGCGAGGAACCGAGGGGCCATGCCCTGGGGCGGACTGGGGCCTGACCAAGGTGTACCCCCACCTCCATGGTGGGGACCTGGCCACAGGTGCCCACTGGGCTCTGGGATTGCTGGGGACTAGTCACATCCCGTGCCAGGCAGCTGCACAAGTGTCCGAGCCCTGACGGTCTGTGTTGGACAAGTGGGGACAGATGGCGCGTTTGCTTGGTTCCTAGGTCTCCAGCTTAAAAGCAGCTGAATCTGGACTGAATAGACTTTGAACTGTGGGTTGGATGAGACATTTGGGGGCTCTCTGGGGGATAAGTAGGGATCTTCTGTATGCGCCATGTGGAAGGGACATGGATTTTGTGACCAAAAGGGAAGACTGAACTTGTTCATTCCTCCCTGCGTGCAGTCCTTTGTCATGTGACTCTGCATCCGTCCCAGGGTTGGGACGGTAAGTATAAGCCCATGGCAGTGGGCTGACTGGGTGCCTTGTTTGGTCAGTGACGTGTAAGGAGGGAGTGGGTAACCACAGAGGTCAGGGCTGAGCCTGAGACTTAGCCCACATGGTTGTTTGCTCTTGTTCTCCGGTGCTCCCATCCTGGCTCTGAGCAGCTGCTGTGCTTCCTGCAGGGCGCCAGCATGAGCACAGAGCATGGACTCCAGCCCAGCCCACCGCTTGAGCCGAGAGCACAGATGCATGAGTGAGAAAGAAACCGAGGTCTCATAAAACATATATTTGGTCTTTGGCCCTGGTTCCTGGCACAGAGCTTTAAACTTTGGGAGTATCTTTGTTATGCTAATGAGAGGACTCAAAGCTGGACCCTCTCAGCTCCCTGCTCCACCTCTGGGGTGGGGGAGGGACGGCATGAACCTGGCTGGGGCAGACACCAATGTGCTTGGAGGGCCGTGGGCCGAGGTAGAGGGCACGGAGGTCTGCACGCCCCCTCCCCAGGCCTTGTCACCTGTGTTATCTCTTCATCTGGCTCTTCATTTGTATCCCTCATGATAAAACTGTCATTGGCAGTGTAGCACTTTGCTGAGTTTTGTGAGTTGTTTAAGCACATTATCCCACCTGAGGGCGGTCGTGGGAATGCCTGGATGGACAGCAGTGCAGTAACTTGGGGGTACCTGAGACTTGTCACTGGTATCTGCAGTGGGGGCACTCTGGTGGGGCTGAGCCCTTAACGTGTGAGGTCTGTGCTCAGTCTGCGTAGGTACCGTCAGGACTGAACTGTAGGACACCCAGGTGGTGTCAGAGACTTGCCCGTGGCACACAGAAATCACCCTTGCTCACAACCAGAGAGTTCTGGGGCTGTTGGCTTCTCGACAGTAATGAACGGATATACCATGTAAGGGACAGTTTAGGGCATGGAGTGACGGCCAGGGCAGCAAGAGACTATTTGAGACGTGTGAGAAGAAGACACACGTATGCACACACACGCAAACACGCACAAGCGGGAAGGCCAGGAAACAGGAAGACAGTGAGTAGCCTGCTCCGTGCTGAGTTCCTGGCTCCCTACCCGCCAGCTCAATCCCTAAAGGCAACCATATTGGATCCTTCCACTCAGATTTTGCAGTGCATTGCAATCCCTCTGCGGTGGCACCCGGAGTACAAAAGGGAAAAGTGACGAGGCACAGAAAGGGTGCCCAAGACAACAACGGGGTCCACAGTTGCTCCTCAGCTGGCCCGGGATGGTGAACAGCATCGCGGGATGCCCGGGCCCACCTACCTTCTGCAGGATAGTTGTGGCCAGTTCCTCGGTCAGCTCCTCCTTGTGGTCCCGCAGATAGCTGGCCTCGTTCTGCTTGTCCTGCGGAGGGAGGGAAGAGAATGGCCGCAGGCTGTGGGTGGGTCGGGGGACTTGGCGATCACTTTCTTGGGAGTCCTGACCACAGATGCAGGGGGAGGGTGGGCCCTGCTCTAGACCAGGACAGCCCCCAGGAGGCTGGTCTTCCGACAATCTGTATTGTCTTCTGGCGGCCAGGACCTTGACCCACACCTCCCCGCAGCGGGGACAAGGGGGTCATACCAGACTGTCCCCATAAGCTTCGGCTTTGGAAATTGCCTCCTCGATGGCCTCTTCAGCCACCCGCAGGGCGACAGCCAATGTGTCCATCATGCTGTGTCCTAGACAGGAAACAGAACACAGACCACTTTCTGAAAGGGTAAAGACAAGTAAAATGACTGTTCCACTTTAGTTCTTCTGTGTAAGTCTTGCAAGGGCTGGGGCAAAGTTCCCAGTGCTCGGCATGGCGCACCAGCCCTTCTCCCCTGCCTCGCTGTCTCCCCCTCACCCCCAACCCCAGACACGAGAAATTGTGATTCTTTGAGAGCCACCGTCTCTCCCTTCATGGCTCCTGTATCTTGGCCTTCTTTCCTCTGGTCCCTGCTCTGTACCTGACCTGGGTCCTGGGGCCCCCAAGGCTTGGCCCAAGAGTTCTTTCTCTGAAAATCCGCCTCCGACCCCGCCTGTCCCCACCTTGGCTGGATGTCCATCCAAGGCTCTGGGGTTGCTTCCCACAGAGCCAGAAAGACCTCCTCCCAGCCAGGTCATCCTCAGAGAGCATGACTGGATCACACGCAGTCCCTCCGGACATGCAGCGTGGCTTATAGATAACTGCACTTCTAGAAGGGCTTTAGATAAAGAAATAACAGCTCTTCATCTACTTTCTTAAACGAAGGCTATGTGTTATTTTGTGCATTTCAGGTATCACTGTGAAGATAGGGATGAAAATTATTCAATGTTCGAAGGGCACTGGACTGTACACATGGTTTAATGCAAACATAAAACCCATGGAAGCAATGTTTAGACTCTAAGCCAATACTTTCAATAACAGCAACACTGGCCAACCTCACCGAGCTCGACTACCTCCTGGCCCCTGGCGGAGCGTCACATGCATGGCCACAGTTCATCCGGACCACAGTCCACTGAGTGGGTGCCATCTGACAGACAAGAGAACTGAAGCACAAAGAGGTCAAATAACTTGGCCGAGGTAACTCCGTGTGACAGGAGGAGAGATGAGGTTTGAGTCCAGGACTCTGTCTGCAAAAGCCCCTGATTTTAACCACAAAAGTGAGACAAATACAAGCTCACATGATTTAAAAAAATAATGCTATCGTATTTTTAGCAAGCATATTTTCTTTTTGCAAATGGCAACAGGTGGGAGGAAACGTCCCCACGTCAAAAGGACTTCTGCAGGTGACAAAATTCTTTTTGGAGTTGAGTACTTGCAGGAGTTCTGCTTCCCCAAAACCTCGATCTTTGCTTTTTACTTGAAAGTGAGAATTTTGATCACTCCTCCCTTCGTTTGCCCCAGAAGCCCAACTCACATCAGGCCCAGAAGTCCAGGACTGCAGGGGCCGCCCGCCTATGTCTCCTTTGCCCAGATTGCCACTCCCCGTTTCCATTTATACTCTCTTACTCAGACATTATTTAACACACGCAAACCTCCTGAAAGCTGCCTCAAATTCTCTGTAGAGCGAGACTAGTTGTAAATACATCAGTTCACTCATTAATCAATCCCTCAATTAAAAAAAACTTGATTCAAGCTTCTTAGGTTCCTCAAGACACAACTGTGGACAGAAAGTGGCATGTGGCAAACATAATAAAATCTCCAAAACCAACCCAGTGAAGCTCGAAGCGGTCCAGCAAGTTGACGGGTCGATCACAAGCTGGCTGTGATGATGGTCACGTCAGGGCTCTGCACACCACAGGGTGGCCGACTGAACACACAGTTTCCCCAGTCACACCAAGTGCTCCCTGGAGATAGACACTGTACCTCCCACGTCTCTTCTTCAAGATACCAACCAACATATTTTTCTCACAAGTCCTCGCTAGCTCTGTGAGGCCCCCAGTGACGCCCCGATGGAGAAGTCAAGTCCACGCTCTCCTGTGCTCCCCAGGCTATGGGGTGAGCAGGCACTTATGCTAAGAGGCTTGCAGGAGGGCCTGTGGTGGGGAGCGTTCCCCAGTGCCACAGATCCCTGGCCAGGAAGAGCCCACAGGCTCTGGATGCTACATTCATGACTTCTGGATGAGGGTGAAGTGGGGCACTGAAGATGTTTTGGCTGAAAGTGAAGGTTCAGGTCGGTGTCACAGAGGGAATGACTGGCAGGGGTGTGGAGGAAGGAGAAGAAGGTGAGGCAGAATGACTGAAGCTCAGAGGACCCGCAGACAATGGGATGGTCGGTTTTATGCATCATCCTGGCTCGGCTGTCGTACCCAGTGATTCGTGTTTACGAATCTAGGTGTTGTTATGAAAGTATTTTGTGGATATGGGTAACATCTACGATAGCTGACTTTAAGTAAAGGAGATTGCCTTGAGGTAATGTGGGTGGGCCTCAGCCACGCAGTTGAGAGAAAAGGCCTTATGAGCAAAAACTGAGGTTTCCCGGAAAAGAAAGCCTGTCTCAAGACTGAAACATTGGCTTCTGCCTGAATCTTCTGCCTGCTGACCTACCCTATAGACTTTGGGCTTGCCAGGCCTCACAATTATGGGAGCCACGTCCCTAAAATAAAATAAATTTCACACAAATAAATCTTGGCGCACGTGCGCGCGAGTGCGTGTGTATCCTATTGGTTCTGCTTCTCTGGAGAACTCTGGTAGATACGGATGGTCACTGAAGGTAATATTAATACAGGGGAATTGTGGGCAGGAGGCTCTCAGGTGACAGGGGTCAGAATAGAAAGGGAAGGAGAGAACTGGAGAAAGAGCTGAGAGGAGCTTGGGTGACTGGGTCGAAGTAGGGGAGGAGGGAGGCTGAGGGAAAGGGAAGTCTTGCCAGGGCACGTAGGTGGCTGAGGAGCTTGATTAGGATCTGCTGAGGTTAGGATCCCTTTAGGATCTACAGGGCTTGATGATCAAGCTTTAGAGATCTGAGTCTAGAACTCTAGGCTGAAATCAGTGCTGGGCATTTCAGCTTTAGCAGTGAATGGAGGTGCAGGGAGCCCACAGGAGTGTGTCGTACCGTGGGGAGAGGTTCTAGGTGGCAAGGATGAAAGAGCATGGGACCTTCATGCGAAGGGACCCAAAGGAGAGAGCAGAGAGCATGCGGAGGAGCTGTAGGGACCCAGGAGCAGGTGACTCAGGAGGCTCTCAAGGTACAGCACTCCACCTGAAATGGTGGAGAAGGTTTTATTTGAAACCAGAAGTTTGTTTCGCTTTTAACTTCTACTCTGAGGGGACTATGATATTGGTATAAAGAAGTAGAAGTGAATCAGTACATGATACATTCTTTTTTTTTTTTTTTAGATTTTATTTATTTATTTGACAGAGAGAGAGACAGCGAGAGCGGGAACACAAGCAGGGGGAGTGGGAGAGGGAGAAGCAGGCTTCCCTCGGAGCAGAGAGCCCGATGCGGGGCTCGATCCCAGGACCCCGGGATCATGACCTGAGCCGAAGGCAGACGCTTCACGACTGAGCCACCCAGGTGCCCCGATGCATTCTTTATATGAATATTTTAATATGAACTACACAAGTGTATTCATTATCATATTCCAACTCCGGAAGATGGAGTTAGAACTGGAGGTCACCAGGTGATATAAAGTATCCAGGGGTTGGGTGGCAAATGCACTGCTCTCAGCCACACCTTGGCTATAATCACCAATTCCGACGATGGATTCACACAAGAAGCAATAACAAGAAGACCCCTGGAGACTCCCACCCAGTAACAAGTGGTTGTGTCTAGCGGTTACATTGCAACTGGGAGACCCCGAGTTTCTGAAGGTGTTTCTATTCCACCAACTTCCCATTAGCTGCAAACTCTTAAGCAAACTTACCTTCTGACTGTCTATAAAATGTTGAATCACTGCCCGAAATACTTCCTTCATTCTCCAGGTTTGCCTCGAAAAAGTTTCCTCCTAAAGGGAGGGAGGGAGTGAGAGAGAGATTGGGATTATCACAGGTCCCCAGTGAGCACTGGTGCACGGTCACAGCCCTGGCAGACCACCACGACCCACTCTGATGAAGTCAGCTTTGCAGATATTTGAGAATCACTGGGTTCCACAATAATGTTTCAGCTTTTGATCAGTCACCTTTTTATTCTCATAGTGATTCCTGGTGTAACATTCCTGCCTCCCTCAACTTTCTTCCAATACCTTCTTTGGAGGCAATGTGGAGTCAAAGAGAGAAGAATGGATTGAAGCCGGAGAGATGCAAGGTCGTCACTTCCTGGACCTGTAAAGTACTAGCTGTGTGACCTGGAGCACGTTACTTAACCTCTCTGACACTTGGCTTCCTTACTAGAAAGAGAGAAAGAACAAGAGCTCGTGATGCTGTGGGTTTGGTCTTTAGTTGCAGTCTATGGCACTGACCCAAACAGTTGCCTTTAGCTATTGATTTAACTGTCACCATTCTCTTCCATAGAACGGAGTCCATGTGAAACAAGCCCAGAGTGAGACAAGGTCAATCCATGGCGTTTGATCTTTTAAGGCCCGCTGCCTCTCCTCTGGTCTTCTTTGAATCGAACGCACAACCCTAATCTTAATTCCAGCCTGGGAAGAGCGGTTGGCTAACCCCCTTTTAAAGCCCTTTTTCAAAGTTGGGGATTTTTTTTTATTATATTTTTTCACGTGTTCATTCATCAAATGAGATCTCTGCAGATGGGGATGATGGATTGTTTTAAAGTCACTGTATTGTATTCCCCGTACCCAAGATAGCACCGAGACAGCAGGTGGCTCAAGGAAAGTGTATTGAATTGGATGTTGATGGAAAACACTTTTTGAGAGACCCAAGAAAATAAATATGGGTCTATGTGCCTCAGCTCAAAAGGCGGCAAATGCCATCAGTGCTCTGTCAAACTAAGCGATAGGCCTTTAATACATCTAATACATCCTGTGCTTCCTTGGATGGGCTTCCTTGGACGGGAACCCCAGGGGTAACTGCTGTAGGTACTTGAGGCAGGTTTAGTAGATGGCTACCTTTATGAAATAGGCCATTGGTGGGTAGCCTATCACGGCAACTCAGTCTGGCCACATACCATGCTCTGTGTTTGTGTTTTTTTGACCAGGCTTTCACTTATTCTAGCTCTGTGACCCTGAGCCAGTGGCTTTGTCTTTCTGAGTCTCAGTTTCCTCACTAACTTTTTTTTAAATTTGATTTTATTATGTTATGTTAGTCACCATACAATACATCATTAGTTTTTGATGTGGTGATCCTCACTTATTTTATAAGGCTGTAAGGTAAGTCATCTCCGCAGGCCCCAAGCTATAGTTCCAAGTGCAAATATTTCCCTTTAGTGTGGCTACATCCAACATTCATTCATCCATCCAGCAAAGAGTCTATGAGCACCTACTAGGTGCCTGGCTCTGGGCTGGGTGTTAGGGTATACTGGTGACCAAAGCCAGAAATCCTCACTGCTCTGATTGGGTGCTTCATAGTACAGTGAACGTGTCTAGCAGGGATAGTGAGTAACCAGCCAGAGGGATGTGGGGAGGTGGGAAAGCATCTGGGGCAGAGCAGACAGCTTGCACAGGACAGGCTGTGAGGACAGCAGGGGCATCTGAGGACCTAAACGAGAGGCAGTGTGGCTGGGCTTGGAGATCCAGACCACGCAGGTCATGGTGACCATACCATGTTTTGATCTTTATTCCAACAGCCATGTAAAGCCAGTAAAGCTTCCATGGAGGTGATCTGGTCGGATTTGTGCTTCCAAAAGTGCACTCTGGCTGCTGTGGGGAAAACAGCTCAGTGAGGGGAGTGAGGAAGGGCAGGAAGCGGAAGCCCTGAGCGCAGCATGCTCTCTGGAGTGTGCCTGCCACCAACTGGGAGGAGCACCGAGGCAGGGCAGGAAGTGGGGGAATGTGCAGGAATGGTTTAGGAAACACAGAGACTCAGGCATGTTTACCAATCAATAGGAAGGAACCAGTTGAAAGAGAGGCTGGCTCAGCAAGAGGGAAGGGATGTGTGACCTTGAGACCTTCCTGGAAGGTGACAGGATCCAGTGCAGGGGTGCATACTGTCTGCCCTGTGAAGAACGAGGTGAGGTCCTCTGCAGAGAGAATGGGGGAGGGTGGAGGGGAGTATGAGGAGAGAGAAAATCTGCAAATGTCACTGGGAGACTGAGCTGCCCAGAGGACAAGCTCTGGTTCTGCATGATTTTAAATCTTCTGGGACACCACTTCTCCCTGTTTCCCTTGACATTCACAGGTGGGAGCTTCAGTGCTATTTAGGAATGGCACAAAGCGGTTGAACTGCTCTGGAAAGCATGACGTGGCAGTCAGATGACATCGTCATGTCTTTTATGAGCTGGAAGAACCTCTGATGTCACAGGGCTCAGCATTTTCAAAACCCATGTTTGTCAGTCAAATCCCAGATGAAAGATGCAAGAGCCCCTTTCAGGAATCATGTCAAAAATAGATACAGACTGTTCATGAATAAAAGCAGGGTTTATTTCTCCTATTTTATTTATTTAATACTAAATGAAAGCATATGCTATTTATCCAACTGCCTGGAGATTAAGTATATTAATAATGACCACTTTTATCTTTTTGTGTAGTGCTTCTTTCTAGGGTCTCTGTTAAAAATGTCATGCTGAGTCTACCGGAGGTACCATGTGAGCACGAGTTACCACTGGACACTTTATTTTTTAAAAATGTACTTATTTATCTGACTTTTCCACTGGAATATTGGCTCTCAGATGGCAGGGTCTTGCTTGTTTTATCAATCTTAAACCAGATGGGCACATAGTAGGTGTTCAATAAATGCTTACTGAATGTTTATTGAAGTAATGAATACATCTTAGATTTACCTGATGGAACTAATGGGTCTCCTTTCAGGCCTGGCCTATCCTGTCACCCAATATGGGGTGCAAGAAGAGTAAGCCTAGCTTGGGAGGGCCAGAAGGACAGATGGCAGTGCAGGGCATGCGCACGATGGCTGGCCCAGAAGATTCTGTGAACTCAATGAATTTTCAATGGACTGAGTGTGTTAAGGCAAACTACGCTGGTCCAGGGGGTGAAGATGTTTCATAGGTACAAGGGGTTCTACTTCAAGAGTTCGGGAGCAGAGCACGTGCCTTGCATGCTGTAGATGCTGTGTATTATGTTCTGACAACCCAAATTCTGCAAACAAGTACCCTTAGCCGGAGTTGAAGATAGAGGCATCTTATTCAGAATGCTACTGCACCAATTATGGTCAAGTGCTAGCTGGGGTTCTCCACCTTGGCTGTGCCTTAAAATAACCCACAGAAATACCTGTCCTGGGCCCGCCTCCACAGATTCAGAAGTAAGTGACTGAGCGTGGCAGGTGATCCCGGGCGCTGGGTTTTTTTTTAAAGCCCCCTAGATGTTTTGCAATGATGTGGATGGAACTAGAGGGTATTATGCTAAGTGAAATAAGTCAGTCAGAGAAAGACAATTATCATATGACCTCACTCTTATGTGAAATTTAAGAAACAAGGCAGAGGATCATAGGGGAAGAGAGGAAAAAAATGAAACAAGACAAAACCAGAGAGGGAGACAAACCGTAAGAGACTCTTAATCATAGGAAACAAACTGAGGATTGCTGGAGGGAAGCGGGGTGGGGGGATGGGGTAGCTGGGTGGTGGGCTTTGGGGAGGGAATGTGTTGTAATGAGCACGGTATTATAGAAGACTGATGAATCACAGAGCTGTATCCCTGAAACCAATAATACCTTGTATGTTAATTAATTGAATTTAAATAAAAAAAATGCAAAGTATATGACAACTTGTTTAAATAAAAAAATAAAGAAAAGGGAAGGATGGAGTAGAGCTAAATAGTTTCTATATATCACTGGAGTTAAATTACTAGAAAAAAATAAAGCCCCCTAGGTGATTCTGATGTACAGTCAGGATTGAGGATGGCAGGTGACAACGATTCGAGGGTGCTGGGTGACAGGTGCGAGCTAATGCTAAGGGCTCCCCAGTCATGTGACATAACCGGAAGGCCACTTATGCCCTGGGGGATTTGCCCAGGTTACAGTGTAACTAAATTTTCTTAAATTCGTAAATTATTTTACGGTGTGTAAAATAAATCTCATTGTTTTATGACCATGGCTTAACAGGTTTGAATATTATTCCACAGACTGTTCCCTGTCCGCTTGTCTTCATTTTTATCAAAAGGAAATCTTAGTTTAAATGGATACTTAACCATATTAAAGCAATGGATTCTAATACTTCAGTGAAGGGTCTCAGTACCCAAAGAATGCTTTTAAGATCAAACTAGTGCCATACGGAGGACATAGGCTGTGCCAGGTGTGGAGCCACGCTTCGGGAACGCAGAGGGGACGGGGCTGCTGCTCTTGCAGCTTGTAAACCTTGTACACTGTCCCCCGAATGCAACGTGCTAAGAGCCGTACCAAGGCCCGGATGAAAGAAGTGTTGAATCACAATGGGCCAAGAGCCCAAATCTGCTTCTGTCGGGGCAGACAGTTATTCTCAATAAATGGTTTTCCTCGGGAAATGACACTTGAAAATTTCAAAGCCCTGAGCTGGCCCCCGTGGGGCTCCCGTCCGCCTGATCCACCTGTGGGGCCTGAGGGAGACAGGGGAGGAGATCAGGGTTGTGCTCTGCTCTGTAGGATTCCCGGCAGGTTTGCTTTTCCCCTCCTCTTGCATGAGGCAGTAGAGAACACCTGTGAGGTCTGAATTTGGTGACACGTAAGGGGGTACACGAAGCAGACCGGGGGCTCTACGCAAGAGGGAAGAAAGGATGGGGTACAAACAAGTGAGCCAATGATGTTCTGCAACTTTCCTGAGATAGTTCTTTGGGTTGAAAAACTACTGTTAACAGGATTACTTCTAAGCTTGCTTGCTTGCTTGCTTTCTTTTTGCCTCCATTCCTGGAGAAAAAAGTTTTTAGAGAAATCAGTAAAGAGAAGATAAAAATAATCTGTGGAAACCTTCAGCACTTCTCTCTTAGCTTAGGCTTCCTGAATAGTTTGAAAGATAGAGTCTAACCACCACCACAAAAGGCCCTAATGATTCTCTGTGTTTAATGCTTCCATCCTGTTTCCCCCGTCTCAGTGGCTGGCATATTTTTAGATAAGACACAGCCAAAGACTTTATTGAGAATACAACAATGTAAAATAACGACAGTGAAAAAGCTCCAAATGAGACGGATGAGATCTTTTTTCCTTCCCTCTTTCTTGTGGATAAAAAGCATTTACCTGTGTCAGCAAAGAGACGGAAAAAACCTGCCTTTTTTTAGAGGATAGGTTGTTCATATTCTGACAATGATTTCTTTCTACTGGCTAGTTTAATAGAACTAAAGAAGATAATTTCTTATTCTAATTACATTGGTTGTCTAAAGTGTGTGAAAACACCGAAGGCAGAATTCATCTTCCCGGCTTCTTGGGAGAGAAGCACATACTTTCCTGACTCTCCCATTACATCAAGTCCTGGGCCGGGTGTGAGTAGAGTTTGGGACTAGGAGGGAAAGGGGGTGGAGGGCACACCCTCTGAGGGCAGGCCTAGTCTACGTGGTCAAACAGAGGACTTTCCAATGTTTTGATCCTTAGGGGGAGATGATCAAGAATCTTTGATTTCTAGGGGTCTACAATTAAAATGTCCACAATATGCAGAAATATGTTGGTCTTCTTAATGCACCCAACAGCCCAGTTGGGGATGTTGGAACTGGATGACTCAACAGAATCTTTGGTATTTGTCTTCCTATTTCTGCTCCTAATTGGAGCCAGGTATTTAAGCTACTTTCTGTTTCCCAGTTGAGGGCGCCCAGTATCTGGAGCCTCCCAGCCAGGGCTTTTTCTATCCCCCCAGCCCCACAAAGACTCCCAGAGCAGCGGGCCGCCAGCGTACCTAGAATATCGAAGCATGCCCCACTCTCCAGTCGGTGTTTCCTGTACAGGTTCTTCAAGACCTTGGCACTGCCAAAGCGTTTGAAGCGGCTCTTCACGTTACTGTAGAACCATTCCAGAGACTGGGTCCTCAGAAGCCTGAGGAAAACACATAGAGTTAGAAAACAAAATTAGAAATAAAAACTGGAATTATTAACTGGTGGATGGCAAAAGTTGCCACCATACTTTGTAACTCCTTCCATCAACATGTGGAGCTTCCTTCTCAGCTTCTTGAATCCGGGCTGGCGTGTGACTTGCTTGGACCACAGAGACCGGTGGGCCTGACGCCATGGGAATCTTGAATCTTGCAGCTCTTAGAAGTTCTGCACCTCATTACCACGTGATCAAGCCCAAGCTGGCTTGTGGGGTGCCGAGAGACACTTGGCTTAAGCACCCCTTTCACCTCAGCCAGTGACCAACCAACCCCACAAGAGGTGAGCGAGGGAAGAGGTGACAGGGATGAGGCGAGTGATAAGCAGCCAGGATGACAGCAGTGAGGACAAGGCCCAGGCCACCCGGACAAAGAGATATTCAGCAGGGATGTAGATTCAGAACATGACACTGACTCTGGTGCGGAGAACACAGGCCAGCCTGTGGCAGGGATAACGATTCAGAAAGTGGCAGGGAAGGGGGTGGCCAGCGGAGCCAGTCACAGTGCTGGTCCCATCCCCCACGGCAGCGAGCACTCAGCCCAGGATGGGGGCAGTGACGCCACGGCTTCCAGTTACAGCAACAGTGACCCAGTCCCAGGGCCTTCGGGGCTGGCGCAGGCACGATTACCATGCACAGAAACGCACTTTTCCAATGGTCTATTTGTGAGCCCTTTGCTCTGTTCCTCCCCTCCTCCAAAACTTCACTGTTATTAAAGACAGTCTCTCTTTCTTTTTTCTTTTTAAAGATTTTATTTATTTATTCGATAGAGAGAGTAAGAGAGTACAAGCAAGGAGTAGTAGTAGAGGGAGAGAGAGAAGCAGGCTTCCCGCTGAGCAGGGAGCCCGACGTGGGGCTTGATCCCAAGACCCCGAGATCATGACCTGAGCTGAAGGCAGACACTTAACCATCTGAGCCACCCAGGCGCCCCAAGACAGTCTTTCTTTCAACAAACAAACACATTGCCTGCCAATAACTGGGGATGTGCGAGTGGCCGGAAGTAAGACCAGCAGAAGCATGCACCTGAGTCCATCCAAAGAGCAAGCAGATGAGCGCTTGCCATTTGAAGCCACTAACGCATACACCTGCTTAATAGCAGGCTCTGTATTTGATACTCGTACTGCATTAACAACACCTCTTAAAACAACAACAAAAAAACACCTCTGATTCAGCTTGGGGATGTATAAAGCACGAGAGACACGGACTCTAGGACAAGATTCTCCAGCCACTTATTCATTGAGCTGGAAGCACTGAGGGAAAGCAATTTCTTGCTCAGTGCTGGGATGGTCAAGACAGAATACTGCCAGGATGCTTCTCTTTTTAGCTCGATTAGCTAAAATCCCATTTTAAGAATAGCTCTTGTTACTTTTATTGTGAATGTGATAATGCATTCTCATTTTAGAGAATTCAGAAAAGTAAAATGAACACAAAGGCCTCTCCCTGCGCAGATGCCAGTGACATGTGAGAAGAAAGCCAAAGGGAAAAGTCTACACAAATGAAGAATGGGGGTGAGAGCAGAACCAGAGATTTTGACATATTTCTGGAAAATTGGAAGTGGGTGATCGCATGGATCAGAGAGAATGCTGTCCTCTAGATAGGCACTGGAGCTGGGCCTCTCAGACTGAGAGAGAGGTCTAATTTGCAGCTGGGTGGTACCAAGAGCAGGACTGGTTGTGACACAGAATTCAGAAAGCTGATTTAATGGTTGTGTAGGCAATGGGGAGACCTCTTGGTCCCTATCCCAATTCCCAATCAATTGGACAACTGGCCCAGGGATGCTTTGTCCTTAGGTCAAAAAACAGAAAACAGTCCTCTAATAAAATTGAACAACCTACTTGGAGAAGACTGGGACTTGAATACAGGGGTTATACCTGCAGTGAAACCTTCCTTCTGCAGCCCTGGGGGAGCCCCCACTCACCTGCCCACCAGATCCTATTCATCGACCCTAGGGCCAGGCCTGCCAGGTGCCTACCTGGTTAATAAACTTGGAGTTGTCAGTCAGCACACTCACCCCCTTTCACAGGAGAGGTCTACTGGGAATACTAACCTACCCATGTGAGTCACTTTTATTAACCAGCCAAGTCCTTTGTTTAAAAAATAGATAACCGGGATATTTGAAACAATCCAATGGCATGGGAAAGAAGGACCCAGATAAACTAAGAGCAAACTTTTAAAAAGGGAAATGAAGGTAATCTAGGGTAATAAAAATAACTTTAAAAATTCTAATAAATAACAGTGATTTGAAAAGACATTGCATCCCATCCACACAACACTAGGTGATGTGAAAAGTAAGTAATCAGAAGACAATGGTTTCTGGGATGCAGAACATATGATTGGTGAAAGAAATGTCATAGGAGGTCTAAAAGTTAAAATCAATATAAATTTTCCAGAATGCAGAGGAAGAAGTAAAAAAGATGGGACATATCAGAGGAAGAGACATGAGGATGAATTCAGTGGGCTCAGCATCTAACAGGATTCCAGGAAGCGGGGAGAGGAAGGAAAAAAAATCAAACATAACAGAAGAATATGGCCCCAAGCTAAGAAAGACAAAAGTCTTTAGGGTTAAAAGAGTCTACCAGCGGCAAAGCAGAATAAATTGATTACAACACAACGTACAGCAGACAAACCCACTTAGATACATCTTCATGAAGATTCAGACCCTCCAAGATGAGGCTTCCATGCAGAAAAAAAGGGTATTTTTGCAAATGAACAAAAACAATAATGACATTAAACATTTAAATCAGTAACGCCGAATGCTAGAAGACAATGGAGCATGGGTTTTCTAAGCCCAGAGAGAAATGGCCTGACCTCAGAATTCTATGCTCAGCCAAACTATCATCAGACAAGGGCCAAATAAAGATACTTTCAGACATGTAAGGTCTCAGCAAGTTGATGTGCTTTCTGGGAAGAAAAATTGTTAAGGTATACTCTAGGGGAACTAAGAAACCAGCCAAGAAAAAGGAAAGCATGGGATTCTAGAAAGAGGGAGTTAGTCCAGGGGTGCAAGGGACAGAAGTCTCAGGTGCCAACTTCACCTCGGGTCTGAAAGACACGGGTAGGGGGTACACATAGGCCATTCAATGAGCACAGGATTAAGAAGCTAAAGGAATGAAGAGAGACAGTGAAGAAGGAGCCACACCCTTTTTTTTTTAAGATTATTTATTTATTTATTTGAAAGAGAGAATGAGAGACAGAGAACACAAGAGGGAAGAGGGTCAGAGGGAGAAGCAGACTCCCTGCTGAGCAGGGAGCCCGATGTGGGACTCTGTCCCAGGACTCCAGGATCATGACCTGAGCTGAAGGCAGTTGCCCAACCAACTGAGCCACCCAGGCACCCCACACCCTTCTTTTGTCAATAAGAATAAGAAAAGATAATTAGAAGCCCCAGGAAAAACAAAAACACAACTAAAAAGCAGCTCTAGAAAGTGATGGTCCAAACAGGAAGCCAATTAAAAGCTGTTAAGATCTTGTCAAATAATGAAGCAGAGAAGAGGTGAATGGCCCATTCTTCTTTAGGTGGCCCAGGTTCATGGGCAAGGATTACATTTCCTTCTCTCTATGGACTTCACTGCAAGACTCTGGTCTATAGCAAATGATATATATTATGATATATATATATATATATTATGATATATATACATGATACATACATTATAATTTTATACATAAAATTAAAATGCCATTACTTTCCACACCCTATTTACAGACAAAGCATGAAAGGTCTTCACTGTCAAGACATCTGCACTTTTTGCTGAGAGCAAAACCAAGTCACCAGCTAGCCTGGCAGAAGCCTGGATGCAGAGAAAGGAAGGAACCATAGAGAGAGTTCACAGATGCTAATTTCCTCATCTTACACGATGGAGTCCAGATAGGCTTCTAAACTATATGGACAACAGTAGTGCTTTAAATGTGTCATTTAAAGTGATAGAGGTCACCAGGTTTTAATAAAAGGTTTTAATAAAGCTTTGTGGGGAGGGGAAAGAGTTAGCAAGAAAGTAAGCTATTTATGAAGGTCTAAAGTTGACAAATCAAGAAATGGTAAGATAAACATGTTAGAATTATAGTAGTAACCTGAAGAAATGTTTATAGGTGCTTGCTTGGGGCACTGGGATGCAGATGGGGACATGATACTATGGTTTTTTTTTAAGATTTATTTTATTTTATTTGAGAGAGAGAGAGAGAAAGGGCGCGCGCATGCACACATGAGTGGGGGGAGGGGTAGAAGGAGAATCAGATTCCCCGATGAGCGCGGAGCCTGATGCAGGGCTTGATCCCAGGACTCTGAGATTATGACATGAGCCGAAATCAAGAATTGGCTCTTAACTGACTGAGCCACCCAGGCACTCCAAATCTTTAAGTTGAATATAATTTTATATTGATTTTTTAAAACCAGGTATTATGCATTAATATAAACGCACTAAAATAAAAACAAATAAGATTTAAAAAACCACCCAAAAGTTCTTGACATCTGAAGAATGTTTGTTATGGACTGAATGTTTCTGTTCCCACAAAAGTCATGTTGAAACTTAATCCCCAACGTGATATTATTTGGAGGTGGGGGCTTTGAGAGGTGAGGCGTCATGAATGGGATAGTGTCCTTGTAAAAGAGACCCTAAAGCACTCCCTCACCCCTTCTACCATGGGAGGACACACTAAGAAGATGACCGTCTAGGAAGAAGGAAGCTGCTCCTCACCAGACACTGAGTCTGCTGGTACCCTGATCTCAGACTTCCCAACCTCCAGGATAGTAAGAAATAAGTTTCTTTGTTCATATGCCACTCAGTCCGTGGTATTTTATTATAGCAGCCTGGAAGCACTAAGATGGTGCTCTTCCAGCTTTTTCTCAAGGGGATCCCTGAGGACCTAATCAGGGAGGAGCCCAGGAACTGGTGGTGTGTGTGTGTGTGTGTGTGTGTGTGCATGCGCACGTGTGTGCATGCATACATGCA